ATCAAATGGTGTAGTATCTCTTTTGCCACATAGAAAATTATATTAATTTCCCATTTTGTATAACTACGGGTGAACAAATTATAAAATACCTAACTTGGGTATACAGCCAAATTCTAAAATTTACAGTTGAACGTGATTAATTTCTTTTTAAGAATCATAAATTATATAAAAGCAAGTCATGCAAGACTATTTAGAATGGGAAAGAATAATTAGAAGATTACTTAAATAGAGGCACATAGCTGGCTCAGTGAGTGGAGCATGCAACTCTTGTTCTCAGGGTTGTGGATTTGAGCCCCATGTTGGGTGTAGAGATTATTTAAAAATAGAAATTTTTTAAAAATTGCTTAAATAAAGCCCCATTTACCCTTCTATTATTAAAGATGTTCAAAGAACCATAGGATTTTAGCGTAAGAAGAAATCTTAGAGTTCATTCAGGCCAAACCCTCAACGTCTCAGAAGAGGCAGAAAGTTCAGAGAGGAGATTTGTTCAAAGTTATCAAGTGGGAGAAGAATGAATTTGTTCATTCTTTCAATCACTTAGTGGTCAGGAAAGCCTGCTATGGGTCGGGGGGCGGGGGTACAGAGAGCAGTGTATTTTGTTCCCGGCTCTCAAGGACCTGTCAGAGTGGCAGTGGTCAGGGTGGTTATTAAAGCCCCTAGTGCACATCAGTAAATGAAATAATACTTTAAAATCCACATTTTATATGTCAAAACTCAGTTATTGAGAACTCTCATTTGAAAGCTTCAAGCTGGGGTGGTACATAAAATAACAAAAAAGGGGCGCCTGGGTGGCTCAGTCGTTAAGCGTCTGTCTTCGGCTCAGGTCATGATCCTGGGGTCCTGGGATCGAGTCCTGCATCGGGCTCTCTGCTCAGCAGGGAGTCTGCTTCTCCCTCTCCCTCTGCCTGCCACTCCACCTGCTTGTGTGCACTCTCTCTCTCTCTCAAATAAATAAATAAATAAATAAATAAAATCTTTAAAAATAAAACCTTGTGTGTGAAACAATCTGCGTTTAGTTAGAACATCATGATTATCTGAACAGGGGTTTACAAAAAAAGAGGCAAAAAAATTGTTTATCAGTCAGAAAGTAAGATTATGATGATAAACTGAGTCTGATAAGTGAAAGAATTATAATTGTAAAAATGCTGAAGTCTGAACAAAAAAGAGTGAGAGTTTTGTGACCAACTGTGACACAGGTCCCTGTTACAGGCACCTGAGGGCAGCTTGGAAGCACACTGATTCCGGTTTGGCTATGCCCTGTTAGGACTATAAGAATTACTGGCATGACACATAGCTCTGATTACTACCCACAGCATGACGCAGAACCAGATGACCATGAAATTGGATTACCTTTCACGCTGCTCTTGATTTTTATTTAATTTTGTTATTAATCATTGTTCTTAAATGATAGAGTTAAATGTGAGCTGTAGTCAAAAGTTCCTTTAGAGGGTTTTAAGTAAATGCCTAAAATGAAATCTTTAGTCCTTTTGCCTCTTTGTTGAATCTGAACATACCTGCACTTGGATATATAATCAACTTTGAACAGGAGGAGTCTTTCATTTTCCACCTACTGATTTTACCGGGACAAATTAAAACAGCAAACAATTGCTGTTGAAATGTCAAGGCTAAAATGTCACAGAAACATCAAGTTCAGTAAAGTTGTAGCTCCTGCTCGGAGTAGGCTGACACAATCATCAGTGTGTCTTTAAGGATGTGGATGTGACCTTACATTGCAAAGCTTCATGGCCACAACCTTCACATTTCCTGTCACAGTCTTTGAGTCAATCCTCAAGCCCACACAGTAAAGTGAGTTTCCATCTCATTCTTGAGTTCACACAGGTAAATGGGTGGGTATATGCTCAAACTCAGAGATGCATTATCACAGTAATCCGAGTCCATTCATCTCATTGCTCTTTTTTTTTCTTATTTCTTTTGAAATCAAAAAATGCTTTACCTACTGCCCTCCATTGCTTGTTAATAACTCAGAAAAGCACTGGTAAGAGTCAAGAGCCAGGCGACAACTTGGCCAATGACTGTTCAAGACCTTTTACTTCTTCATGCTTTGGTATCCCTCTTTGCAAAATGAGAATGATAATATCTGGCCCAATTCCACAGATGGCCAGAATAAAAGCACTTAAAATTCTTTGGATGAAAAGCATAAGAATATTGTGACTTCAAAAAGCAAATGGCAAAAAATAAGAAAATGAACACAGCAAGTAAATAACAGAAGAAATTGTCAGTTGTGGACAATGTTGTTACTAGTATTCTCTTTTCTTTCTCGTTATCTAATCTCAAAATATCTTGTAATTCTATCGTGGCTGAAGTTTGTATGCATACTGCCAAATGCTATAATATTCTTTAGGATCCAATATTACAGGGAAACATACAGGGATGGAATTCACCACTGAGAAACACTTTCATTTCTGTATCTGACTCCCCTCTCAGACCATAAACTCTGATATTTGATGAGAGCACAAAGCCTCATTTGTTTTGGTCCAAACAGCCAGATATGTGGGTGGATGCCTTCTACCAAGGAATGTCACCACAGTTCACATCTGCTTATTCCACAACATGAGGCATCTGACCATTTGCCTCTCCCAATATAGTGTGAAGCACTTTTCCTACATGAAAATAAATTGCTTCCATCCAAAAAAATGTATTGAGCATGAATAACATAAAAGGCGCTTTGCTAGGTACCATGGAAGAGGTAAAGATGAATAAATCAGTTCTTGCCCTTATGAGAACTTTATAGGCCCACATTCTTAGATATAGATTTAGATTAAATTCTCCTCCAAAACAGAGACCGTGGTGTTTATCTTTGTGTCCTCAGGGCTTAGTGATGTAGTTTGTCTAAATGAATGAATAAGCAGAAGAATGGGTGTTCTAATAAAGATGTTTCCTGTTCTAGGATGTCAAACACAAGAAATCATTTCTAGTCTTTTCTCCTTCTGATCCCAGTTGCTTAAAAACAACAAAAGGATTGAAGGGGAGAAGAATGATCTATCATAGAAACAAGCTAAGGACAAAGGTGGACAAATGGAAACCAAGGAGGAAGAGACTGGGAGAAGGGAAAAGAAAGCACTATCTTGAAGGAATCAATGAAGACAAAATTTCTGCACGAAGCTTAGGAAGAATTCACTTAATTCTAAATAATTAGAATAAAATAGGCAATAGTCTTTGTGGGGAGAAAAAAGAATTGGGTGGAAACTGAATTAAACACTAGAAAGGGGGAAAAATGTTTCCTCTGATTTCCTGCAAGTGCCAAGCCACTTTGGTCAAAGCGTGGAATCTTAAAAAATGTTTCAAAGAATGTTACCGTGTTATTTGGACAAAGAATGATGTGAATGTTACCTGGCATAGGTCCTCTGTCTGCCTGCTGCTTTCATTAATGAGGCAACAATTCCCAAACTCTTGGATCTCAGGACCTCCTTATACTCTTTAAGGCTACCAAGGGCCCTAAAGAGTTTTCACTTATTTGAATTCTATCTAATGGTATTTATCATATCACATATTATTACAGAGATATTTTCAAAATATCTCAAATCAAGACAGCAAAGTGTACTTTTGTGTTGTTTCCACATAAATTCTAAGAAAATTTCAAGATTTCAAGGTAACTATTTATTTGAAAATAATGAGGTTATAGCTATCCTGACAGGTATGATCAAAGAGAGCTAATTACAGAAGTAATGAGAACATATAAATTGTATTAATCTCTACAAAAATGTACGTATTGAAACTTTAAGCCTACTACCATAGAACATACTAGAAAACAGAAGACTACCCATTCTATTAGTAGAATGATGACATCATTCACGTCAGATTGGCCTCTGGAAATTTCCACTACACAGTCATGAGACAATGAAAGCGAAAAAGGCAAATCATGTCTTATTACCCTAATGGAAATAGTTTTGACCTAGGAGACCCTTTCCCAGGATCTTGGAGACGTCCCAAGACCTGGCGGGCCACAATTTGAGAACCAATGTAATCGATTAATTCTAAAGTCACTTTCCTCTGATGAATATTTTGTTCTCATTCCCGAATCACCCTTTGAGAACCGCTGACCTAAGGTAACCACAAGACAGACCCCCCGCCCCGTGAAACTCAAAGCGAAAAGCCCGCGGGATGCGCCCGGGGCGCTCCACTTAGCACTGAGAACTGAAAATGCCCCCCGAATTCTCAAGCAGCGCCGGGTGCAGAAACGAGTCCAAAACCTGCCACCCGCGCGTCGAGGCGGGGCCAGAACCGGCTGCAGGCGGCCGGACTCGCCCGAGGCTCAGGGCCGAAGCTGCGGCGGCTCTGGAAGCACCTGCCCACCGCCCGCCCGCCGCAGGTAGGCCGGCCCCCGCGGGGAGGAGCGCGGCTAGGTCCTCCCCAGGTAGCCACCTCCGCCCTCTCGCCCAGCTCTGGGCCGCGGCCTCCCGGGGTCACCGCAGGAACTTACCGCGCGCCTCCTCGCGTGGGCCAGGCGCCCCTCCGCGGACCCCAGGCGCTTCCTCCGCCCCAACGCGGGAGCCACCCCGGCCTCCCGGGATTGTCGCCGAGATTTGGGGGGCGCCGAGACGGAGGGTCTGGCGGCCGCAGGGACTACCCAACGACGGGGCTCCGGCCCGGGAGCTGCTGGAACATGCGCCCGGAGCCGCAGGTGCGGGGCCCGGAGGCTTGGCTCGGGCGGGGAGTGGGTTCCTCGGAGGGGGCCACCTCGGCGGACCCGGCCGGACTGGAACGGAAGGCAGAGGGCCGCCCGCGGCGACAGGTGCCCGCTCAGCCGTCGGCAGAGTCCCGGGGCGCGGCATTTGTCCCTAGGCACTCTCGGGCTTTCCGGGCGCGGGTCAGGCCGGGCGACCGAAACCCGCGAGCCGGGCGCAGTCGGGCGGTTGTTAAGAGAGCGGCAGGTCGGTGACTCAGTACCCCCAGGAACTCAGAGTGCTGAGCCAGGGGCTTTTTTGACTTTTTCTTGTTGTTACTTTGTTTGTCTTAGTTTGTTTGACAGTTACCAGACTATGATTACACTTCTGGTTCTACTCAGCCAACTGCCCATAGTTACCTTCGCGTTTCCTCATTGCACAAGGAGTCCGAAGGAGTCCAGGCATGCTCGAGAAGGTAAGCATGGCTCCCGTCTCGAGAAACCGCCGCCCCCGAAAAGCCGAGCCAGGTATTACAGATCTCAAAGGAGAAAGGGTAGTCTTTGAAATGACATGCCCCCATCAATCACAGAAGCCTTACAGTATCCTCTAGTTTAATTTGTGGTCTGCCTGGCAATGTTGTGGTTATGTTAGGTACAGTTTATACAAATTTATTTCTGTGAGTTACTTTTGATAAATATATATTTAAGACCTGGTTTGTGGTTCACTGAATGGAACACCTATTTCAACTTCTGAAAAGCAGTGAGCGCCGTTTTTCTAGATGAGACTATGTGGTAATTATAATGAGCATAATTACTTGTTTTTCCTGGAAAGATGGACAGCGAATCCAGGATCTAGTCTGGACTTGTTATGAAACCCCAGGGGCAAGTTACTTAACCCCTTTCTGCTTGAATTTCTTCCTCTGTAAAATGATGGGGGTGGGGAGGGGAACGATCCCTGAGGTCCTTTTTGACATCAAATTGTCTGGTTATCTGGATAAAGTCAGATGCTTGTGAAAGATTAGGTTTGGTAACCTAGAATTTCATACCTTGTGGGTTCCAGGTCATAAACAGACTGGTTCCTGTCCGCATTTCAAAAAGTCTAACCTAGAAATCAGAACCAGAAAAGAAAAAAAAAAAAATGGCTTTGGCTTCAGCATCCTTCTCCCTGCCTGGTCATTGTGCTTCCCTATCCCCACACATTCCTGTCCCTTAATCCTTTTCATCAGATCTACTCTCAGCTCATTTTCATTTAGGAAGGATCTGTTACACTAATACCCCTGGATAACTTATTAATGATTAATACAGCTTGGTGTATTAAACCTTCCAGGAGGGTGTGTGTGTGTGTTTGTGCATGTGTGTGTTTTAAGATAGGAAATCTTAACCCAAGGGAACCAAACCCTGATGGTAGAATTCTAGGCAACTGGATAAGCTAGCTAATGAGAATAGGGAGAGATTTTGGAAGGAGAGCCTTCTTGTTACCTCCCAAGTTCCACCACATAAGGAAGTCCACTCATATATAAAATTGAAGGTCCATACTCAGTGGGACCAGATGCTGATCCCCAGTATGCTGGTGAGTATGTTCATTGATTCACATAATGCAGACATAAAAGACATTCCCAAGGACATCACAAATTATGGAAGGAATTCAGAGATCATACTTGAGTGCAGATGGCTGGAAATATCTGTGGGAAATGTAAATGAGGAATCCTATCTATTTTAAAAGCTGATTTTCTCAGTTAGTAATCACTTTATTAACACATACTGTATGCCAGGCCCTCATCTAAGTACTGGGGATATAGTAATGAAAGTCTATAATCCCTGCCCTGGAGGACCTCTTCATCTGATGAGAGGGCGAGATATAAAGAGATCATCTCCATAAGGTCTGTGACAGAAGTAGGAACAGAGAGCTCAAGAGCAGAGGAAAGAGTGAGTAGCAGTAACTCTACCTCTGGAGAGTTATATGGCACAGAAGCCAATAATAAGTGGAGCTATGAAAAGTAACTAGGAAAGTAAGGGACCTTCAGCTGAACTCTGATAAAGCCAAGGACAGGGTTCAAATGACTCAAAAGGAATTTATTTAGAAAACATGGAGGGTCAGGAGAGTAGAAGAGAAGGGAGGGTCAGTTGGTGGGTTTGAAATAGCGGGATGCACAGACAGCCTCTTAGGATGGCCTAAAATGGGAGAAATAGAAATGGGAAGAGGACTTGAGGAGGCACATACAAAAGGACTAAAGACAGTGTATCCTCCATCAGGGGCGAGAGGGAAGATAAGACTTCTCACTGGAAGTTCAGGATGCTCCCAGGACAAGGAGGTTTGCTTCTTTGGATAACAAACAAATTCAGTTATTTAGGATCCCAGTAACAAAGGACACTATTTCTCCTAAGATCAAAAGGGAGGCAGGGAAAAATTTAATAAAGCACCGAAGGCCTAAAGTCAACCCCTGACTGAATCAGAACTTTCACACTCAGGGAAGTGATACACAGTAGCTCCTGGAGGGCACATTTAATTCATGGGTGAAGACTTTTACTGGCATAAGTATCATTTCAGGAACAATAAAAATGTTTATGATTCTCTCATTCTTATTTTCCTTTCAAGTTGAAAATAGTTCTATTGAGTCCCATCTGGAGGGCACAGAGTATTTTTATAACTCAGATAACCTACTTGAAGGGAAGACCAACAATGAGAAATTTGGCACTACTTTCTTAGCCAATAAAATGTAAAGATCTGGCCATATCTGAGAAGTAGCAATACAGAAGCAGATTTCTAATTCTTCATTCTGAAATCCCATTCCATATAGTAAATATAGCTAAGTTAGGCAGGCCATGAGTTACTCCATCACTGGTTTAGTATTTTAAACCTACAACAAAATGAGTAATACCAGACTATACCTATGAATTGCTTTAACTGGTAGAATTTAGGTCCAAGAATTTCTTCCCAACGTAGAAAAATTGAGTTCATTTACTCATTTAGTAAATCATTTTTTGAGCACCTCATATGTGTCAGGCACCACGTGTGTGTGTACTTTAGTGGAATTTTTCTTCTAGTGAGGGGAACAGAGTAGTCACAAGTAAGTGGTAACACATGCAGAACACACCAGATGGTGGTGCACGCTATGAAGAGAAACCAAGTGTAGTAGGGACAGGGAGCGCCAGAGGTGGGTGGGTGGGGATGAGGTTTCAAGGTAACATTGAGCAAAATCCTAAAGGAGGTGGAAGAAGAAAGTTCTATTCAGGGGAAACAGCCAGTACAAAGGCAGGAGAGAACCAGGTGCATTGGAAGTGTTTTTTAACAGCACAATGTTAAAAACAGACTGTAGGGGAGCAAAGCAATCCCTCAGAGGGCCATGATGAGAATCCCAGTGAGAGGTGAAGGTAACTTGGAAAATTGTTCATTTTGTCTCCTTTTGGTGACAAAATGCCCTCTGCCCTCTCCCTGTGTGCACGTGTTCTCTCTCTCTCTCTCTCTGAAAATAAATAAATAAATCCTTTAAAAAAGGTAAAAAGAATTGGTAAAATTATATATATTTTTTATATATTTAATTAACCCATTTTATCCAAAATATCATTTCCAAATACAAGCAATATGAAACATTAAGATATTTTACTTTTTAATTAAATCTTCAAATCCAGTGTATATTTTACATTTCTAGCACGTCTCAATTCAGACTAGCCATAGTTCAAGTGCTCAATAGCCATATGTGCCTAGTGGCTACTATATTGAACAAAACAGCTCTATAAGATTCAGACCTGTTTGGAAAAGTGATTGACTAGTGGAAAAAAATATCTTGGACAAGGTGTGACTGTTCTCGTGGGGCTAAGAATAAATGGCCAAGCTGAGGTCATTCACAAATCAGAATTAGTCTTTCAGGCCATGCTGTCTCATCAGTCCTGAACTGTCTTTCAATTGCCCACTCTAATATATTCTTCCTTTATAGTGATGGTTAACAGTGCAAAACACCAAATTCTTTTAAGCATTTGATGTAGTTTTCAGAGAGTTTCTGAATTCCAGTCTTGGTAATGTGATCTGGAGCAAGATTTCTTAAGTGTTTTTTGTGTGATACCAGAATGAGTTTAAAGTTTGTGGGTTTTGAAAATACTGCCATGGTGGGATATTTTGGTTTTGTGTTACCCTGTGCTTAACTCTATTGTGTTTACCATTTACCTTCCCAGAAAAGGTAGAGGGAGTCTTATGAAGCATTGTAGACACATCTTTAGGGGATGGGGAGAGAGAGGCAGCTACTTGTTTAGGAGGGGCTGAATGTCTGTTAATTAACCTTCTAATTACCTTATCATTTTATTAACTTAGAAGTTTAAAATTTTATAAGTTTTTAGTATTAACTTGCTCTAAAATTTTTAACATAAATCAATTAATAATTTTAAAACATAAAGAGATCTTAGTAATTCTTTAGTTCATTTATCAATTTTACAAATCAGGAAATGGCAACACAGAGATATAAGTGATTTATCCCAGATAAACTGTCAATAGCCAAGCCAAATCACAACCAAGAATCTCTGTCTTCTCTTAGACCAATACTCTGTCCTTTACACCAGACTAATTTTTCTCAATCAAGGTAATAGAGAGCCAATCCTTCAGAAGTAGAAGAGTCTGACCTGTCACTTCTTGGAAATACTGTCTAGAGGGAAAAGTGATATTTAAATAATTTTTATTTATGCCAATAACTTTGGATATAACCAACTCAAGTATTTTCTGGGCTTATGCTAATATTTGTATTTCATATTTAACAGACATTATTTTTACTGATGACATTTCTTTTTGTCAGAATTTGAAATCATACATGGATGCCTGGGTGGCTTAGTCAGATAAGTGGGTGCCTTCAGCTGCCTTCAAGGGTTCTGGGATTGAGTCCTGAAGCCTGCTCCCTGCTCAGCCAGGAGACTGCTTCTCCCTGTGCCCCTCCCCCAACTTGTGCTCTGCCTCTCTGTTTCTCTCTCTCTCTCAAATAAATAAGTAAAATCTTAAAAAAAAAAAAAGAATTTAAAACCATACAAAAAAAGTTTTATATCAAGGCACAATTTTATATCAAGAGAATTATTCAGTTCTTCCACAATTAAAACAGGAATGTTCTGCCCTATTTTTATCAACCTTTGAAATCTTTCTATTTCTTTATTAGTCTTCACAGCAAAAGAAGAGGCAAACCTTTTCATACATAGACACCTGCTATATAATAGATTTGATTTGGAGCTCTTCACGCCCGGTGACCTAGAAAGAGAGTGCAGAGAAGAACTTTGTAATTATGAAGAAGCCAGAGAAATCTTTGTGGATGAAGATAAAACGGTAATTTGGTTGACAATATTAATTGGCTGGAAATTTATTAAATCATACTTAAGAAAATGGCACATTAAGTCATCAGAGATTTTATGCTTTAAATAGAATCGAGATTTTATACCTGTTACCCTTTCTACTTCCTTAAAATGCTAACCAACCTATTTAGACTTGGCTTTATACTTGATTAAATGGACTTACAGTAATTGGCAAATTATCGATTGTGTTGTGATTTTGTGTGTGTGATGTTTATTATATTTAAAAACAATCATGAAGTGGAATGAATTACATTTTAGGATACTATTTGAGTTAGTTCTCTGACTCAGGCTTCAATCATTCTAGACTCAGAGTAACTTTTCCTACAAGTGACCTTATCTTTTCTGATTACTGTATTTATTAACAATCTATTATGTGCCAAGTGCTCTGCCAGAGACTGAGGATACAAAATATATAGTCTCTGCATTCAAGAGTTTATTGTTTGGTATATCAGTGTAATTTAAGGGAGAAAATTTTAGAAGTTCTCCTTTGAAATGTAATTAAATCCTGTCCATTAATCTTGGAACAGTATAAAACAAACAGACAACACGGTCCCTGTTATAATCTGGCATATTCTTAAAGAATATTGAGTGACTCAAATTCTTTACTTTTGTAAATTAAATAAGCACAGCTCCTTTTCCCCTTCCTCAAGAGTTCCACTTTACTCTTCGGTCAATAAGACCAAGGAACTCTAGGTATCCTTCAAAGGCAGGCATTAATGGAACTTACTTCTTTTTTCTCCCAAAATTGCACCCAGCCTCTCACTCCCTGCTAATACCTGCCACATCTGCCGGAGAAGGAAAACAAAGTCTATACCTTGTAACTGTGCCTGTTGAAATTTTATTCTGTTTTTTTGTAAATGCATTTTATGATTTTATCATGGTTCCTTAAAATCTGCCTCATTCTCTCAAGTAACACTGAACTGAAAAAATCTCAGGGATGTCTTTCCCCAGATCAATCCCTTTCAGTACAATCTCCTAGCAAACCGAGGGCGCACCGAGCGTAGAAAAATTCAGACTCCTTTTCAAACTTGGTAATGGGTCCACTGCTTTAGCCTCTGCCTTTGGTGCTGTCACCGACTAATATGTTGGTTTCACTGTATGTCTGAGTGGGGACTCTTAGCAGGTGAAGGGAGAGTGGCAGGGGACAGTAGTAGAGACCTGGCACTGGCAGTCATCCCCTGACCAATTCCAGAGTCAGGAGAAACAGTGGTGGGTAGCAGTGTTTGAATTAGAGTGAGTCACGCCCTCCAGCTTGAATAAACTAGTAACCTCTGTGGCACATGCCAAGAATTTACCACCCCAGGCCGGGTCATTGGGATCACATGAAGTGATAACAAAACAATGAAATAAACTTGGAAATTTTACCTTTCTCTTAGATGGCGTTCTGGCAGGAATATTCCATCAAAGGACCAACCACAAAATCAGGTAAGGCAAGAATGGATGAAATTTAATGTTCTTCCCACCCTCTCTCTATTCTAAATACATTTTAGTTTCATTGAGTTTGGTTGTTGCTCAACATACATGCCTTGTAAATCCAGGATGATTTCTCAATTATACACTAGGCTATCTAAGACGGAGGAAGCCACATTCATCTTTACACACTGAAAATCAAGTCTGGTGAGATACTAGGGAAATGAGATAATAGGCTTAAAGGTATTTTAAACCACTCAGCTAGGTCAAGACTTGTACAGAATAAAAGTAGGACTCCATTAGTTCCAAGTAGTAAGCTATTTTAATTATTTTTTCTTTTTTACCATTACAAGTAAATGGAATACTTCTGCTACTAGGTAAATTAAGAGTGTTAGAATTAAATCAGTCTATAGAAGGGAGATCTTTACTTTATCTGTATTATCATCTCTAGCTGCTTTATATCAGGTCTTTTTTGGTCAGATCTTTCATTCTCATCAGGCAGAGCCCCAGCTACAAGGAGACTTTATTACGTTGCTAGGCTAGTGTTGCTTAGTACAGTTATCTGTGTAATTTAATACCAAAATGTGCCTAGTTGAACAAAGAATATGTTATGTTTCGTCTTTTTTTTTTTTAAGTTTATTTATTTTTTTAGTATCTCTACCCCCATCATGGGGCTCGAACTCATGACCCTGAGGTCGAGTTGTATGCTCTTCTGACTAAGCCAACCCAGGCACCCCAGAATACGTTTAGTCTTGAATACTATCCATTTAATATGACCTATTTAAAGTAAATGAAACTTGGGGGTCCCTGGGGGGCTCAGTCGGTTAAGCATCTGCCTTCAGCTCAGGTCATGATTCCAGGACTCTGGGATCGAGCCCCACATGGGGCTTCCTGCTCAGCAGGGGAGTCTGTTTCTCCCTCCCCTCCCCCGCCTGCTCATGCTCTCTCTTGCTGTCTTTCTTTAAAAGAAATTATATATTTATTTATTTATTTATTTGACAGAGAGTGAGAGAGAGCACAAGCAGGGGGAGTGGCAGGCAGAGGGAGAGAGAGAAGCAGACTCCCTCTGAGCAGGGAGCCTGATGTGGGGCTCAATCCCAGGACCCTGGGATCATGACCTGAGTGGAAGACAGATGCCTCACCAACTGAGCCACCCAGGCGCCCCTAAATAAAATCTTTAAAAAATAATAAAATAAATGAAATCATAACTAAGGCTTTTAGGAAGTATCATTTATAAATTTTTGTTGCTAGCACAAACACTTTTTAAAGAAGTCAATATTATTAGATTCTGAATAGTATACTTAGATCCAGTGTTAAATTTATTGAAATCATAGGCAGTGCTTTTCAGTTGTTATATCTATATTATTTTATTGATTTCTCTTAAGATGCTAACAGAGAAAAAGTTGATGTCATGGGCCTTCTGACTGGATTAATTGCTGCTGGAGTATTTTTGGTTATTTTTGGATTACTTGGTTACTATCTTTGTATCACCAAGTGTAACAGGCAACAATATCCCAGGTAAGTACCAAGTAAAAATATTGAATTCACTATTATACATTCTATATTGTTATTTTAAAATGGATAAAAATGGCTGTCTATTTTTTAAATAAACATTTTACTCTGGAATAATTTTAGATATACAGGCAAGTTGCAAAGATCACATAGAGAGTTCCCATCCTTCAACCAGTTTCCCTCATTGTGAACATCTCACATTCCCATAGTACATTTGTAAAACAAACCAGCCCACGCTGGTACATCACTATTAACTAAACTCCAGACCTTATTCAGATTTCACCAATTTTGTCATTCATGTCCTCCTTCTGCTCCAGGACCCAGTTAAGATACCGCATTGCATTTAGTTGTCATTTTCTCTCCAGTCTCCTCTGGTCTGTGACCGTTGTTTGGTTGCATAATTTAACACTTACATAAACAACAAAGTGATGCAATTTCTGAGATCCTTCAAAAGAATACAAAAGGATTCACAAGTGTCAGCTTGATTTTTTAATATTTCCTTCTTAAGCAGGAAGTAGATACCAGTGTCCCCACATTATTTCCAGAGGTTAAGAAGTCCCATCACTTCCTCTAAGTCACATCATTAACAGATCCAGCGATATGGCAACCCAAATAGAAACAGTGTAATTAGCTTTTAAATTCAACCATGTTTATTGATACTTCCAATTAAGGAAAAATGAATGAAATAAAATGGTTGCCGCTTGAAGATAATAACCCATTAATTAAGCTTGATAAAAATTCATAAAAGCCATAATTGTTTGGACAATAGAATCTCAACATCCTCATTAAAATAAAAAGTTATTCTCTATTATCTTCTCAGTAAGTGTAGATGAGTAAGTGTAAAAATAACCTTATTCAAAAAAGTGCCAGGTGCTAAATAGGCTATTCGAAATTGATGCTTACATATCCCTAGTCACACTTTCAAATTCTGGGAAAAGCTCATGATTGTGACCAGGTGACGAAAGGGTTATGGAAACAGTGGTGATGGTGGCACAACATTGTGAATTTAATTTATACCACTGAGTCACACACTTGAAAATGGTTAAAATGGCAAATTTTATGTGATACATATTTTAGCACTATAAAATTTTTTCTTTATGGTAAGAGTTTAGGGCAACAGACGTGGAATTAGATTCATCTATTGGGAGATAAAACTAAAACCATGGGGTGCCTGGTTGGCTCAGTCAGTAGAGCATGTGACTCTTGATCTCAGGGTCGTGAGTTCGAACCCCACGTTGGGTGTAAAGATTACTTAAAAAAAACAAAACAAAACAAAACTGAAGCTATGAGAGTAGGCAAGTTCTCAGAGTGTAATGAAAGGAGGACGGATGGAAAAGGACCGAGCCTTAAAGGGTCCTCATAGCAAAGGTGCAGGAAAAAGACATGCCAGAAAGAGGGCAGAGGACAGGGGCAACAGAAATTGAAATTCTATCCCCAAGCTGGAATTCCTGAACAGCTCCCTGAGGCATTAACATGACCTGTGGGCACGGACAAAGGAGTTTGTCAGAGACCTCTGTAAATCCTATAAAAATCTGAGAAATGAGAGAAATGAGGAAGAACTTGCCTAATTGTTCTTAAGCCACCATCTTTTAAGCTGAGAGACTTTTATTAACTTCCCTTATTTAACAGGTAGGAAATAAGCAAGGCCTTTCCATTTTCTGGGACTTTTGAGTAAAATTTTATTCAGTGTGGCTTTCTCTACAAGTTGGGGAGAAAGTCCTGGAAACTCTCAGACTAATGAAGATCTAGGCAAAATTTGTCTTTGGAGACTCTTCTTGCTTTATCTCTCTTTTCCTCCCCACTTATAATGTCTCTCCAAAAAAGTTCATGTATACCCTCATGCTTAATAACTGTGCTCGAGGCCTGGGAGAGCACAGCCATTAGTCAGTGTCCTCATGCATGGTATTTTCTTCTCTCTTCTCTGTGCTTTGCTTCATTTTCCTACTTTTCTGCACCACTCCATCTTCTTACCTTAGGCCTTTTTTCTGTGAAATCTTCTAGCTTCTTCCTGCTGTAGGTTAGAAGCAGAATTCAAATGCACAATTCAAATGGCAAAGTAATGCCATTATTACGTATGCTTTCTGTGTATGTTATTGTAAAATTTAAAAACCCTGAATATCTCTTATGTTATTTTGTTTTAAGATTTTATTTATTTATTGGGGGGGCGGGCAGAGGGAGAGAGAGAATCTTAAGTAGACTCTACACTGAGCACAGAGCCCAACGCAGGGGTTGATCTCACGACCCTGAGATCATGACCTGAGCCAAAACCTAGAGTGGGACACTTAACTGACTGAGCCACCCAGGCACCCCTGAATAGCTCTTATTTTAAAAGCAAGATTAAGAGTTTGCCTTCGGCTCAGGTCCTGGGATCGAGCCCCGCATCGGGCTCCCTGCTCGGCGGGAAGCCTGCTTTTTCCTCTCCCACTCCCTCTGCTTGTGTTCCCTCTCTCGCTGTCTCTCTCTGTCAAATAAATAAAAATCTTTTTAAAAAAATAAATAAAAGCAAGATGAGTTACACTTAATGTTAGTACAGTATAATGCTATACAGCTCACAGATATTTTTACATGTATTGTTTCACTTCGATCCTCAGAGCCACCCTTTGATTTGAGGGTACATTGAACACTAGGTTTATAAGACATTCTGTTATTTGGGGACTGACTTTTAAAAACTTACTAAAGTACTTTTCATCTATTATCCCAAGAAACTCTTCTAGCAGAGTTATTTGTTCTCTTTCTGTATTTTGCAAGTCTGGAAGTGGCGGAAGGGTGAGGAAATATTTGAGAAAGAAAAGAGTAAAAAATAAGATCATTGTCAGAAAAGTTTGTCTCATTCCTCTGTCAAAACATGTCAAAAAATGGGAAACAAGATCTTTTCATTTCTTAGTTCCTATATTTTATGGAGGAAAATAGGCATACTATGATGTTGCTAGTTTATTTGAGTTGTTATTCGTGTATACTTTCTGATATCAATCATTTAAGATGTGTGTAAGAAATCACTATGTAGATTATTTAATAACTTTGATGTAATTATGATATTGTTTCTATATCTTATATGTGGAAGTCTACATGGAAGAGTTTATTTGTTCCACTAAAACATCTGTCTCTCCTGTTCCCTATAAGCAAACAAATAGAACTTTTCGTCATAAGTTAATGAATGTGGCAAGTGACTAGCCTACCAGGAATCTGTTCCAGATTTCTGACAGAGGAGGAATTGTGTTGAGCCCTCTAAGTAAACCTGTGATGGATGCTCTCAGTCACCCCCCAACTATTGAAGAGCTGACTCTCCAGTTCCTAGATTTACACAGATCTTCTTCACTTCTCTCTCTGCGATCAGCCTCTCTCCTTTCCTCCAGTTTCATATCTCATGATTACCTCCAAGGAAGAGGTGTTCTAAGTACAAATTGACTGCCTTAGTTTGGAAAGTTTACAGTATTTTGAGTCTACTTAACTGTCTCTTGCCGGGAAGAATATTGTAAATATTGATGAGAAGTTGGGGATTACCTATGAATTTTAATTATCCTTAATTAGCCATATTTCTAGGAACTTAATTTATGCATAAGTGCTTCATAGACAGCCAACTTTACAGTCTAAACAGATCGATTTACTAATGTTTAAATTATAATTCATAATTCAGTCGTGAGAAGGGAAAACACAGGCTCAAAACACCAGACCCCTATTGCATTTCAATTTTCACTGTCTGGGGTAGCTGACAGAGTTTTGTGGAAACGGTGGGGCTTGCACGAGGCCATATTTTTTTTTTAATTATTGGCCTTAGGTCAACAGAGCGGGGAAAAGACAATAACCTGAGAAAGCAAACAACAACAGTGAAAGCACAGAAGCAGGACAGAGAATTGATTGCACATACAGAGGACTATAAAGAGGGTACCTTGCAAGAGCAGAGAGTTGTGAAAAATCAGGTGAAGCCAGAATAAGGGAGGCTTTAGAAAGGAGGCATGGGAGTTGAACTTGACTCAGGGGAAAGTGGGCTGCGGGTTAGACTTTTGCAGAGAAGAGGGATATGACAGAAGTGCTATTTAGGAGGGATGGACCAGGCAACAGGACTGCAGAGGAGAGAGACAGGCATCACCTGTCGTGATTATCTCTGTAACATCAGGATCCTTGGCTTGGAGTAATGCTGCCTTTCAACAAGAAAGGGTTTGGTTTCACATCATATTTTGAGAAAGTTCTCATTTAAGAGTGGGAGAAAAGGGGAATTAGCATGTTTTGAGTCCTTATTATAGTGTTCCAGACACTGCTTAGATGCTTTACATATAACATTTTTTCTGAATCCACACAAAACAACTCTGTTGAGGTAGCTATTATTGTCCCCATTTTACTTCGAAGGGAACAGATAACTTGCTTTGGCCACATAGCTATGAAATGAGAGGATCCAGTTTCAGATCCGTGACTGACTCCAAAGCTCTCAATTTTTTTTAAAGATTTTGAGAGAAAGAATGAGAGAGAGAGAGCATGAGAGGGGGGAGGGTCAGAGGGAGAAGCAGACTCCCTGCCGAGCAGGGAGCCCGATGTGGGACTCGATCCCGGGACTCCAGGATCATGACCTGAGCCGAAGGCAGTCGCTTAACCAACTGAGCCACCCAGGCGCCCTCCAAAGCTCTCCATCTTTCCCCTATACCAAGATTCTTTCAGAGTATATGGGTAAAATAAAACTGTGGTTATATTAATAAATTGGGTTCAGGGGCTCCTGGGTGGCTCAGTCAGTTAAGCGTCTGACTTCAGCTCAGGTCACGTTCCCAGGATCCTGGGATGGAGCCCTGCTTCGGGCTCCCTGCTCCACTGGGAGTCTGCTTCTCCCTCTCCCTCTGCCCTGCTGGGGCTCTCTGTCTCACCCTCTCTCTCTCTCAAATAAATAAAATCTTAAAAACTAAATAAATAACAAATAAATTGGGCTCAACTTTTATCAAAATTGTCAGTTGGGTTTTCTAATATTGCCATTTTAACCTAAAAATGCTGCCTTTCTAGACCTAAATGCTGTCTCTCTGTTTAGTTCTTCAGCCACCTACGTAAGAAGGGGCAGGCACACTCCCTCCATCATTTTCAGAAGACCTGAGGAGGCTGCCTTGACCCCGGCACCCCCTGCAGTGGAGGACACAGGATTACCTTCTTATGAACAGGCAGTGGCACTGACCAGAAAGCACAATGTTTCCCCGCCACCACCATATCCTGGGCCAGCAAAAGGGTTTCGAGTATTTAAAAAGTCTATGTCGCTCCCATCTCACTAAGCCCGCCATGGTGGTATTGGAGATTCCTGCTATTTGAATGGTTCCTTTTCCCCGAACCAAAGAGACATGTTACTTCAGCCCCTTTATGACAAACTGCAAGGAGCAAAGAAAGAATAAGCATGTGTATACGACACCACAGCAGTTCTGTTGGCATCTTGGATCTGAACTTGATCATTATCGGCCTGGTAAGAAACTTATCATTACCAGTTTGATAAGAAACTTGGACTCCATAGCTTTGCAGTAAAGAAGAGAGCATTTTTTTGTTTATTTTAATGGTTCAGAAAATCTGTGTTATAGATGTCATAGCTAGAACTGGTGAACTGTCTTTTGTACGGATAAAGTTTGTAGATTTCTTGTGTTGAATATTACAAAAAAAGAGTTTCTGATCATTAGATTATCCGAAGTCAGAATATTAGACCCACTCTTTATTAGGATTTCTTTGTTGTTGGAAATCCATCACAAAATTGGACACTTCAGTATAAACTGATGGCCTTAATATAATCACTTCATTTTACATTTTAAATTATTGCATAGCATTCACCATATTTTATAGGTTTTAGTTGTTAACAATTGCTATCAGTCATGTTTTGTTATGGGAGTGGAGTAAGTAATTTAAAAGTCACTTGCTAGGGAGTTAGTTCTTCAGAGGGTATAGAGTTGCAATGGCAAGGATTTGCAAGGGTTGTTATACTATCAAATATATAGGCTTCAAATCTAGGAGTGACTAGAACTTTATCGATAAAGTTGCCCATGCTACTGATGAGTAGACACATCCATTTTCATTGCTAAATTATCTATATATATCTATATGTAATTTTTTATCTTGAAAATGTGTTGTTTATAAATAATAGTTCGAGAACCTAGAAAAATTAATTTACTTTCCTGCTCTTAAAATAATACCAACTAAAGTTACCAGCAACCCCTCGTATCTCTTAATGTCTGGACCCAAAACACCATAAGTAATCATTTTAACCTATACTTTGTCTCTTCTTTTAATTGTATATATGACCAGTCTTCCTTAAGAATGTAGTAGAGTAGGGCGCCTGGGTGGCTCAGTTGGTTAAGCGACTGCCTTCGGCTCAGGTCATGATCCTGGAGTCCCGGGATCGAGTTCCGCATGGGGCTCCCTGCTCGGCAGGGAGTCTGCTTCTCCCTCTGACCCTCCCCCCTCTCATGTGCTCTCTCTCTCATTCTTTCTCTCAAATAAATAAATAAAATCTTTTTAAAAAAAAAGAATGTAGTAGAATATAAGCTATAAACCTCTGGAGGAGTGTGTTTGCACACATTTATATGAGTGGGTGTGGATGTAGGTGTGAATTTGTTTTCTCTTTGCAGGAACTCAAGAAATAAAAGACTCCTGAGAAATAAAAGAAAAAATTCTGTTCTTGTTGTTTTGCTAGGCATTGCATTTTCCTATTATTTAAGACCATTTGTAAAATTGTCTTTTGTTTTATAATTTTTACAGAAGTGAGACTAAAACCCACATATATTTGGTAATTCCTCCCAATTAAATGTTTAGAAAGTATAAATTATTACAATGTGTGTGTGAGTGTTTATGTCTCTCTTTTAAGACAACATGATCTTAAGGCAGATATAAGCAAGACCTTAATCATTACAGACTGCCAAACATTTTATCCTTCTAGATTTTGGGGTATCTTCAGTTGCTTATCACAAAGAAATCATCTAGCAGCATTTAGATATAATTAGGAAAGTGGTCTTTTTATTTTTTTTAAAGATTTTTCAGCGTGGAGCTTGAACTCAAAACTCTGAGTCACATGTTCCACTGACTGAGCCAGCCAGGTGCCCCAGGAAAAGTCTTTTTAAAGCCACCTACATTACCTTTAAAAATTTTACCACTATGGGGCACCTGGCTGACTCAGTCGATGGAGCATACAACTCTTAATTTTGAGGTCATGAGTTCAAGCCCCACTTTGGGTGTAGAGATTACTTAAAAAAAAAAAAATTATCATTAATCATACCTTGACTTTACATAAGGACTATTTTCTCATGTAACTTTATACTCTGCCCTTATTTTAATTCTCTTTAAGAGGTCAGAGGCAGGGGGTGCCTGATGGCTCAGTCGGTTAAGCGTCTGCCTTCGGGTCAGGTCATGATCCCAGGGTCCTGGATCGAGCCCTGCATCGGGCTCCCTGCTCAGTGGGGAGCCTGCTACTTCCTCTCCCTCAGCTCTACCCGCCCCCCCCCCGCCCCCTGCCCTGACTCATGTTCTGTCTTTCTGGCTCTGCTCTAGCTCTCAAATAAATAAATAAAATCTTTTAAAAAAAAAAAAGGTCAGAGGCAAATTCTACTTTCCTCAATTTGTAGCAATCAGACTAAGGCATAAAAGCATAACTTGCCCTAAATCTAACATGCTGGTGAGAGCTAGGTTTAGAAGGAGCAAGCACACTTTTCCAGGCCCATCTCATACCTGTAGAATTATGCTATCTCAAATTATGAAGAACAGGGATCTTATTAATTCTAGGTCTGTATGAGAAATTTATGACCATCTGTCATATATACATAAATGTATATAGGTTTATATTACATATATATGTACATGTACATGTATTCTCACACACATGTATTTCTTAGGATGAATAGAAATATAAGACAGGGGCACTTGGCTGGCTCAGTTGGAGGAGCATGCGACTCTTGATCTCGGCATCCTAAGTTCAAGCCCCACATTGAGTGTACAGGTTACTTAAATAAATAAACTTAAAAAAAAAAAAAGAAATATAATACAGGATGTATCTCTTATTGAATCATAATTTGAAATATTCCTTGAACTTGTTTACTACCACTGACTCATAAGAGTCTAATTGCAAAGCTAGCCTTAGAACCTATAACAACCCCTCTCCCAGCAGTAGCCTAGATTTGATATGCCATCACTTAGCATAAAACTGTTGCTCTAACTTGATTATTCATCTGGAATTCATCACTAAGATTGTGAAATGACTGGTGTTTGTAGAACATCTATGTCGGGCTCATAATACTTTATACAAAAGAAAATGTGATATGGGACTACACCAAAATAAAAAGCCGCTGCACAGCAAAGGAAACCATGAACAAAACAAAAAGGCAACCTACTGAATGGGAGGTGTTTGCAAATGATACTCCAATAAGGAGTTAATATCCAAAATACATAAAGAGTTTATACAACTCAACACTGAACAATCGAATTTAAAAATGGACAGAGGGGAGCGCTGGGTGTTTCAGTCGTTAAGCGTCTGCCTTCGGCTCAGGTCATGATCCCGGGCTCCTGGGATCAAGCCCCGCATCGGGCTTCCTGCTCTGCCAGAAGCCTGCTTCTCCCTTTCCCACTCCCCCTGCTTGTGTTCCCTCTCTCACTGTCTCTCCGTCTGTCAAAAAAAAAAAAAAAAAAAAAAAAAGGGCGCCTGGGTGGCTCAGTCGTTAAGCGTCTGCCTCCGGCTCAGGTCATGATCCCAGTGTCCTGGGATCGAGCCCCTCATCGTGCTCCCTGTTGCACGGGAAGCCTGCTTCTCCCTCTCCACTCCCCCTGCTTGTGTTCCCTCTCTCGCTGTGTCCCTCTCTGTCAAATAAATAAATAAAATCTTTAAAAAAAAATGGACAGAGGAATTGAATAGACATTTTTCCAAAGGACATACAGATGGCCACAGACATGAAAAGATGCTCAACATCACTCATCATCAGAGAAATGCAAATCACAACCACAATGAGATATCACCTTATACTTGTCATAACAGCTAGTATCAAAAAGACAAGAAATAACAAGTGTTAACAAGGCTGTGGCGTAAAAGGAACTTTGTGCACTGTTGGTGGGGAATGTAAATTAACGTAGTCACTGTGGAAAAGAGTACGGAGGTTCCTCAAAAAATTAAAAATAGAAATACCAAATGATCCAGTAATTCCACTACTGGGTATTTACCCAAAGAAAATGAGAACACTAATTCAAAAAGATATATGCACCCCTATGTTTATTGCAGCATCATTTATAATAGCCAAGACAGGAGCAACACAGGTGTCTATCGACAGAAGGATAAAGAAGATGTGGTATGTATATAATGGAGTATCACTCAACCAAAAAAAAAAAAGGTTGAGATCCTACCATTTATGACAACATGGATGGACTAGAGGGTATTATGCTCAGTGAAATAAGTCAGAAGGAGAAAGACAAATACCATGTGATTTCACTTACAGGTAGAATCTAAGAAACAGACTCTTAAATGCAGAGAACAAATTGATGGTTGCCAGAGGGGATGTGGGTGCGGGGAATGGGCAAACTAGATAAAAAGGATTAAAAGGAGAAACTTCTAGTTATAAAATAAGTAAGTCACAGGGATGAAAAGCACAGCGTAGGGAATAGAGTCAGTAATATTTAATAATGTTGTTTGGTGACAGATGGTGACTACAGTTATCACAGTGAGCAGTGAGTAATGTATAGAATTGTTGAACCAATATGGTGTACACCTGAAACTAATATAACATTGTATGTTAATTCCATAACTGGTAAATGCTTTTAATGATGAAAGGAAAAAACTTTTTTTTTTTTTTTAAGATTGTATTTATTTGACAGAGAGAGACACAGCGAGAGCAGGAACACAAGCAGGGGCAGTGGGAGAGGGAGATGCAGGCTCCCCACGGAGCAGGGAGCCCAATGCGGAGCTCGATCCCAGGACCCTGGGACCATGACCTGAGCCACAGGCAGGCGCCTAACGACTGAGCCACCCAGGCGCCCCTGAAAGGAAAATATCTTAATATAAAGTTATTGACATGTACTTATTTCTGTCTCATTCACCATTTTGCATTCCTGTTGTACTTTTGGTAGGGGATTTTTTTGTTTACTCTGTTTTGTTTGTGCTTCTTCCCCAAGCAACTGATTAGTGTTAACCATTAAATCTATTTTGAGGGGCCCCTGGGTGGCTCAGTCGTTAAGCGTCTGCCTTCAGCTCAGGTCATGATCCCAACGTCCTGGGATCGAGCCCCGCAACAAGCCCCACATTGTGCTCCGCGGGAAGCCT